TTTTATAAAATTGAGAAGTGAAATTGGTATAGTATTTACCACATAAGCAAGTAGCTAATTGTAGTTGAGTAGGAATTTTAAAGTAGTGATACTTTTTAGTTGAACTAGCATCATATGCTACTGAAGTGATATTTGCAAGTAGGACTTGTAAGGTTTCCAGTTTAGTTTCAGACATACTAATACTATAATGATCTCTGTATTTGCTATAGTAATAATTGATATTGTAGGAATCAGACTCTTCAGTAATAAAAGATGGCATGATTAGAGTATCTTAGAATTAAAGAGATTAAAGTAAGCTTCACAGTATGCTAAAATTTGTTTCATATAATATTACTCAAACAGTACTACACTTGTGATTTGTGTAACAAGTATGGCTAGTGTGGCTGGTGTGGCTAATATAGTACAAAATATGACATATGTAACTTTACTATAAATAGTAAAGTTTAAAATAGATAAGATTATAATTAGAATTAAAATAAAAATAGAAAGATATATTTTTAGAAACTAAAATTAGTTAACAAGATTTGTAATCAAATTACAAATCTTTTATGCAAGATAAATTTTGTACCAAATTAATAAGAACAAATTTGGCAATGTTAAATTTATGTAACAGTTGCAATTTTATACTAATTTAGTAAGAAATTGTGTAACAGATATTAAAAAATTTTTTGGGGCAAAAGTAAAACTTATAGGCATTTTTAAAGGACGTTTGAGACTCTGGAGAGCTCAATTTTTATGCTATAAAGATGGTTTAAAGCTTGTTATGACCGAAAGACACTGGCCAGCAACTTTACTTAAGAGCACAAGAAAGGTTTAGAAGCTAGTTTTAAAGTTATTTTAGAATTCTGCTACCCTTAGTTTTTTGAATATAACTCTGTTTAAAAAAGAGTGAGAGTTATAAAACTAGGCTGCTAGGATGTAAAATTATGTGTAGAGCAAGTTTACTTAAGAGCACTTGCTTAATATACTTAATAAAATTTTAAGAAATTTTGGTTTTTTGAAAAAATTTTTTAGGAAAATTTAGTACAAAAGATTTACAGATTAAGTGTATTTTTTCCTATTTATTAATATTAATTATTAGAATAAAATTAAATATTTTTTTATTAAATTTATCAAATATGATTAATCTGTAAAATATTAAGAAAAAACAAAAAAATATTTATAATATTTGATTTACTAATCCAAATTAGATTAAATATATACTATAGAATTATTTTACTAAAACAAATCTAATGAACTAAAAATTATCAAAATCTAATTACTAGATTCTAAGAAATATGATTTTGTTTGAAATTAGCAATTTATTCTTTAATTTTATAATAATTTATATGATTACAAAATTTTAAATCACTAATTTAATATTATTATATTATGCAATTACTTGTTAATCAAATTATTATATCTATTATAACCTTTATATCTATTGCAATTATTATAACTATTACAAATATTATAACTATTATAACTATTATATCTCCTATAGCAAAAAATTACAACTTTGAGAATAAAAATTGCAACCTTCTAACTCTAATAAATCTATTATAGTAGATAACTTTAGTATAAACTATATAATTGTCAAATTAAAAATAATTAATAAAATAATTTATTAATTTTATTGAATAGTTGTCAAAAAAATTTATTCTAACTACTATAAGCTATGTCTATAAAACTTTGAGTAAGTTTTCTTGATAATTACTTAATTTTTTATTTAATTTGACAAACATATAGAATTAAAATAAAAGATTGTATTTTTGATCAAGATTTGATTTTTATAATCGATCCTAATTTCAAAACCAACTTAAACTAGTTTGTTATAGCTATATGACAAATATTTTTGCTAATATTATAAAAGTTAAGACTAGTTCTTAGTTAGAACTTAATTAGAATATGTATTATATGATAGATCAGATCTAATTATAACAACAACAATCTAATTTTATACTAAATAGAAAACTTTAAAAGAAGGTATAAAAAATTTAGTGTAGGTTTTAAAGCTATTCTTAGATTATTTTAGTTAGTTGGTCTTTAGGATTATATAATATGTTATCTCTTCTGATTTCTAATAAGTTAAGAAATAATTTACTTGACTTATAGTAGCAGTTTTATTATTATTAGGAAGGTAATAGAAGATAAATAAATGTAGTAGTTAGAAGTTATTTAGAGGTTTTTAAATTGTCTCAAACTTGAGATATACTCAAACTAAGATCAATAAAGAAGTTATCATGTGAAAGAATTTATTCTCAAATCTGAGATATTCTTTTATTGAAGGAAAAAAAGTATCTCTTATATAGATAATTTTATATATTAGCACAATATCTTAAATAGGAAAAATAATAATAATCGATAAAAACAGAAAAATTGAATAAAACAGAAAAATTATAGAATCATTTATAGTACTACGTCAGAAGGTAGTATATTCAGAAGGTGTAAAAGGCTAATTTGACCCTTGTAAAAGTTATAATTACCTACTTCGATACTGCGCCTAGTCTAGAGGGAGATCATCAAGATTTTTAATATTTTGAAAATTTCAAAAATTTTCAAAATTTTGACAATTTTAAAAATTTTGAAAATCTTAAAAATTAAATAAATTTTAAAAAAATAAGAAATTTTGCAAATTTAGAAAATTTAACAAATTTTAATAATTTCATAAATTTAGAAAATTTAACAAATTTTAGTAATTTTGCAAATTTAGAAAATTTCATTCATATATAAAAAGAATATATATAAATACCTCAAATTTTGCTTGAATAAAAGGTAACTCACAAAGTTCGAAAAATAAAACCTTCTAAGTCTTGAATAGTCTTGAAAAGAAGTATTTGTTTATTCTAAATATGTTTTTTTTTTTTTTTTTATTTTTTTTTTTTCAACAAGCTGTTCACAGATTTTTATTAAGTGTTAATTTTAAGTTACATTTGTTAGTGAGGATATAATTGGCTATATGTACAACTTTAGTCATTGTCTATTTACAGGTTCTGCCATATAGATTACCTACAATTGCCATACCTAGTATCTGTCTGTAGATACACTATTTAAACCCTCTGGCATCACAGTAAAACTCTATTTTTAACCTAATATTTATATATCTACGTTAATTTTATACTACCTCATTTGAGAACCACTCAGACTAACTTGCGCTTCAAATTGTCTTCATAGGACTGAGCCTTATCACAAGATACCCTCCTGCATCCTATTCTGATGAGGGCTTGTGGATGACTCCAACTATGCTGTGCTATATCCCAATTAAGCTAGCATATATCTTTATCGATGTTTGTACGAATCTAGTTCCTTCCATAGCTCTCCACCAAATTGGTCTAATTCTTCTGAATGTTTCATGAGATAGATTCTCTCAAATTCAGTTAGCTGCTAAGCCAGATTAGTGTTGCCTTTTATGTAATGTTATATTATGTTTGACTTTTCCATTACACTAAGAACTTACTCGCACCTACTCAGTCTGCATTCTTCGTACCTAGACTTTCTCTAGATCAAGCGTCAAACCAGTATGACTATTGAAATCTGTACAATATTATCTAACTCGGGATTTTTATTATACAGGTCCCCTGCTCGTAGATCCTATCAAGATTTATTCATGTAACGTTACATCATATTTGACTTTTCCATTATACTTCCAATACCCAATTGATATTAGTATAACATAATTTACAGAGTTACAACCTCAGAAATAAACAGGGTTTACCGTAAGTTAGATACAAAGGTCTGAGTAATTATTCAAATTTGTTGATTGTAGGATTTGAACCTAGACCTCTTATATAACAGTCTGGCAACCTAACCACTACACTAAGATCGCCAGACCTTCCTAAATATGTTTAAATTGTTAAAAATCCTTTTTTTGAATTGTTAGATTTTTTTTGTCTTGTCTATATGATATTTTCTCGTAAAAAAAAAAAACTAGTTTCTAGTTAGAGTAAAAGAATCTAAATTATTCATTTGTACATTCTTTTATAGTCTTTAAACTGATTAAATAATTAATCAGTTTCACAATTATTATGTAAATTCAACTCACAATACTTTTTGTATTCCTGTAACAACTAAATTATGACCAAATCATAATCAAATCATGACTTCTAATAAACATGACCAATTCTCACTTTTTCAGTTAGTGCTGACTATGAGATTCAATATACAATATTCACTACCTCCTCTCCTTCTCCTCCCTAATTAAAAACAAAAGATAAAAGATAATTAAAAGAATAGATACAAGTATAAGATTTCAGCAGAGTCTTTTAGAAGACCCAAGTATTCTTGACTTTGAGAAACAAAGACTTGAAGAATGTAATTCAACTTTCTCTTCCACAACAATTAATAAGGACAATATTCACTTAATTATAGAAGAAATTGCCAAAGTATTTGTAATGTAGTGACTGAGGCTGTAAAGAATAATCCTCAAGGAAACAACAAAGATACTCCTACCAGATGAAAAACTAATTGAGTTCATATAAGAACCTTTAGTAGTACCAAGAAAGAAGACCCAGTAGAGTAGATCAATACATTCAAAAAGGCTGTTAGTGCAAACAATTAACCTGAAAGAAGAATAGTACAAATCACTTCTAGGTACCTTACTAGAATTGCTGTTAGCTAGTATAGTGATAATAAACATACCCTAAATTTTTAGGATAACTTGCATCACCTAGACCAAAGTTTTTCATCCAAATTAATAAAATATTTTGCAACTCCTGAGAAACTTTACAAATGGCAAGTTGATTTAAGTATCCTAATGCAGCAAGAAGGCAAAAAAGTAGATGTTTATGTATATAACTTTAAAAGATTACTAAAAAGAGTAGATCTGGAAAACAACCTATCTATAACTTATGTTATAAGAATATTCATGAATAGGTTAAAAGGAAGGATTGCAGCAATAATATCAATCGCTGAACCCAACAGACTTGAAGAAGCTATAGCCGATGCTCACAGGGTATAAGCAGGTAAATATTATAAAGAATGAAAAAATAAAAAATGACTAACAAACCAAGTTTTGGAAGAACTTATAAAGAAGATACAACAAAATGACAGTTAATATAATAGTCAATTTCATAAACAGGGAAGAGCCTAGATCCCAACAACAATACTAAAATTATCATTTCTAGCAATTCAACAATATCAAATATTATAGGTGTAAAGAAAAGAGACACTATCTTGAAATTGCCACTCAGAAAAGCTCCTCATCCAAGATAGAAATATTAGTCAAAATAGAAATATAGAAAAAGACCAAGTACAGAATCAACTTCGAAACTCGAGTAGAAACCAAGAGCAAAATAAAGCTCAAAGTCAAGAAAGAGCCTAACCCAACCAAGTTTTACTCTAACTCAGAAATGTAAACTTGTATGAAATTTACAATAAAAAAGAAGTATATATAGGCAACCAAGTCCAAAATCAACTATACACAACTAATAGACTTGAAAGAGGACTCAAAACAAAATAGAATAAATGATTAAGGCTCTAACTAACACAAAACCAAGAACAATCAGAACTATTAATAGAAGTGACTATGGACAAAGCAACTCCAACCCAATTTGGACTACAAAATAAACCTAAATAAAAGCAATGACTATTAGTAGTTGACTAAATCCTACCTTATAATATTGCAGAAGACCTTTTGAATTAACTAGCAAAAGTAATTTACAGTCAAATGCTCTAAATCTCTAGGCAAAGAAGAAACTTTAAACAAGAGTTGTGTAGACCACTTGTTCTCTAGAAAGAGGAAACCAACCTCGTAGATCCAAAATTATATGACAAAACCATAGTGGCTAAATATTATGTAAAAATAAAAGGAAACTCTGTACTAGTAGTTTTAGATTTTAGAGCCACAGTTAGTATAATGACAAAAAAATTGTTATATAAACTCAGACTAATAATCAACAAACTATCAGCTACAGTCGTTATCACTGCTAATAGCAACTGGGAAAGATCTTTAGAGCAATTAATAGAACTAAAACTAGTAATTAGCAGGGTTATAGTTCCAACTAACTTTCAAATTATTGAGTCTTCTAAAGAAACTTTACTCCTAGGAATCGACTAGTTCAAGAAAGTATAAGCCAAAATTCATTTCAACAAAAGAAAACTCTTCATAAGGTATCTTAGTAAACTGGTAGAGGTCCACATCTACTAGTTGCAAGGCTTTAAACTAGAAAAATTATCTGAAACTAATTGTAATAAAGATGATAATGGTAATTATTTCAATAAGTATGAAGAGGAGGAATTGGAAGAGTTAGAAGGGTACCTTTCTAAAAATACAATATTTAATGAAGAGGAATTATATACAAATCTATAGGACAATGTATATAGCCTAGCAATCTATTTAACTACAACCAAAGAGATCCCTACTCCCAAAAACAACACTAAGTCAAAAGAAACCCTAAAAGAGAAAGTAAAAAAATTAGTACAGGTAGAAACACTGAATGAATAACAAAAGGAAGAGGCAACATATATATTAGATAAATTCACTGGAATATTTGCAACTGAACTAAGTCAATTAAGCCAAACTATGTATATCTAGTATAAAATAGATACTAAAGATGCAAGACTGATCAAGCAAAATGCTTATAGAGTATTACTTGATGTACAGGAATTCCTAAAAGAAAAAATTAAAAAAATGTTAGAAAACAATTTAATCAAAGAAATAAAAAGTCTGTGAACCTCACCTATGGTTATTGTACATAAAAAAAATGGTAAATTGCACCTCTGTGTTAACTACTTGAAGCTCAATTCTGTCACAAAAAAGGATTCCTATCTATTACCTCAAATTAATGACCTATTAGAAACCTTTAGAAAAGCTAGCTAGTTTTTAAGTTTAGATCTAGCTAGCAGTTACTAGCAAATACTAGTAAAAAAAAAAGACTAAGAAAAGATAGCATTTATAATCAAACAAGGGATCTATGCCTTTAAGGTAATACCTTTTAGTTTATGTTATGTTTCAGAGAACTATAAACTACATCCTATATAAATATATCAGCAAATTCATTGCTGTATACATAGATGATATTATTATTTATTCCAAGACTTACTTTGAACTCTT